AATGTTCTGCTCTTTGTGTCATGTTCTCTTCCAGATACTTCTGTTTCTCCTCAGCACTCATATCTTGCAACTTGAGTTCCAAGGCCCCACTAAAAGGAATGACCAAAGCACCCGGGTCGTGCTTGTCCACCCACTCTTTAATTTTTATCAACCTGTAGACAACAAAGGGCACAACATTATCTTGTAGTGCATGCATGGCTGTACCACATTCATTATTATCAAGTAGCACATACATATTCATAAGAATTGCACGGTTTTATGATGCCATCTTTTTGTGTATTGCTTTCCAAGGTCAAGGCATTAACAGGCAGCAATTGCTTCAGGTGTACTCCATTAACATTTCACTGTCTTGGTTTCTGTTTGGCATCTAAGCTATGAGAAATTGACATACTTTGAGAAAATGCCCATTTTTTTGGTAAACGTTAAATACAGCAAGCAAAAATGCTAACTGAATAAAAGTTGGAGGATCTGCAGACATACGTTTTCATGAGACTTAAAAAGCTGCCATTTCTCAAAAGTTTGGTAAAATGGGGGGCGGGTCTTTGATAGTTTTTTAATTTATACATACATATATATATATGTATGTGTATATATATGTACATACATATATATGTGTGTGTGTGTGTGTGTGTATATATACACATATATATGTGTGTGTGTGTGTGTGTTTCTCTCAGTGGCGGGGGGGGGGGGTATTAGGTGTGTGTGTGTGTGTGTTTCTCTCAGTGGCTGGAGCAGCTGGTATTAGCAAATAGGAACTCATGGACAGCCAGCTTTTTGTGGCTACTGTTCTTGGAGTATGCCAGAAATAATAAATAAATGAACACATTTCTACTTGTTTTGCTCACCTGTACCTCCCTAGGACAATACCTCTAGATATTATACTATTATTAATTTAAATAAACTGATTTTCTAGTTCTCCTCATCTTCAATAACCGACAGCAACAGTAACAGTTTGCTGCACATCTAATACAACTTTTTCATTGAATGAAACCACAAAACTAGAAATACAGATTTATGGTAGTAGTTTTTGAGTGTTTGATATCCTTAAAAAAATGCTGCTGCAGATGATCTTTAAATAGTCTTTAAAAACAGGTACCACATTCATGGCTTTCGTATTGTTTCAACACATTCCAGACTTTCATATTTACTTTAAACTGAAGGGTGACATTCTTAAGATACCTGGAAGGACTGATGATTCTCCAGTGTTACTTACAGGGCACTATTGCTGAGCATGTGTGAATGGCAAGGATGACAATACTGTACCTCCAGCAAGTAAAAACACCAACAGGCACAGAATAAACCACACTACGATCCAAAGCACAGCCTGCAGCACTTGGGTGCTGTGGATGATTCAGACCTGAAGCACCCACCACACAGCATAAGGTTTTAGGCTTGCTGAGCTCTTTTTCTTCGTCTTGCTAATCTCCAAGATTTAGACTAAGGTTTTAACTGCTATTATAGTAAAGTGCTTTGAAACTGTGGCCTGCAAACCTTTAAATAATCAATGCAAATGTCACTTCAGAAAAAAATGAACTGAACCACAAGTTCATCAACACACATTTGTCAAAGAAAATAGCAGGGGATCAGAGCCATTATGAGATTAAGTGCATGGCCCACTGAGTAGGGTTTTAGATGGGACAAAGAATATAAAAGTTCACTCAACAGTTTTCACACGTTTGTTATACAAGGCTGGTCTTCTATCATTTACTTATGTAAATACCCCATCAGCGGTTTTCAATCCTCATTATACAAATCTTTTTTTTTTTTTTTTTTCCCCTCCCTCCCTCCAGTTATCCAATGAAAATTCAGTCTGGTACCCAAGGGTGATACTGAAACACCAGTGCCTTCCCAAACGGCTGAACTAAAAATCACAAGTAAGGTGCAATTGTGAAATCATGTGCGATATTAACAGTTCTTATAAAACTCACATTTATGGTTAACTGATTAATTTTGGCTATCAGAGTTCACAGCTTATAAATCCTGACCTTCTATACAAAATCTATGTATAAACATATCTTCTATGCCTAAGTGTACTTCAACACCTGTGCACTTTTTTTTATATCTAACATTGTGGTTTCTAGACTAATTATACAGTGTACCAAGTGAAAGCCAGAATGAAACATAAACTTGAAGAAGTAAAATGAGTATAAAAGTAACAAAGCCAGAATGAAACATAAACTTGAAGTAAAATGAGTATAAAAGTAATGTCTAAAATTGGATTCAAATCTTGTTTGGTAAATATGGTCATCGTAACTAATAAACTAAGAACTATTGTGGAACAACAAGATAAGAAATAATTACTTTGGCTAAAACACCAATTCGGAATAATAATAGTGCTAGACTGCCATTTTAACAGCTTTTCTATTGAGTCCTTAGAGGGATTATTTGCATTCCTCAGGTATTCTATTGTACAATTCAGATGAATAAAGACTTACAAATCATTCCTCTACCGCCAGTGTGAGACTTTGATCCAGTGAATACACCATTGTACCTTAACTATAATTGGCAAAAAACCTGACAGTGTAGAGCATCACAAGCTTAATAACAAAGGAGAATATCTCAAAGTGTTGACAGATGATCTTCATAATGCAGGAGCAGAGCTGGTACATTTTAGCAGTAAATGAGCACGGAGGTCTAAAGGTCTCTGAAGTGACTGACATCAGACCTGCTACAGCCTCACTAAAAGAATAAGGTGCTGCATCGTCCTCTGTAGAGACGGTCTGGTTCTCTGCCTGACTGTTTCACTTTTGTGACTTTCAATGTCATAGGAATTACTAAAAAAGCACCAAGGAATTCCCCTAATGGCAACCAAAATGAAGATAAGTAATACAAAAAGTAAACATGCCAGTATAAATGCTGAGATCCACAAAATTCCACCCAAAGCAAGTGTGGGTAACTTGGGATGATCCATGAAGTAACGTTGCAAATGTGCTTTTCTGGTAAAGATACCCAAGTGTGCTAAAAGGGACAAAATCCTGTTAACAAATGGTAACAATTGATGTCAAATCTGTCTTTTTGGAGCACACAGCCTTTTCCATATTTTGCGGTCTGTAAAAGGTAGGGTTAGCACACTTATTTTGGCCTGTGTTTAGGTAAGCAAATACTTGAGTTTTTCTCTATTTTTTCATGCTGTATTTGACAAAGAATTATGAAGAGCATTCTTTTTTTCTTTAGCTGAAAGAAACATTATTAACACTTAAGAAAATCTCAGTTTTTAAAAAGACACTATAATTAACAAATGATACGTTATAAATCCAGTGAAACATGCAGGAGGACTCATGACAACCTCTGAATCCTCTATAAGGATCCTTTTAACTAGAAGTAAATAAATAAAGTGTTCAAGACACAATCACTCACTGCTTGACAAAAGTAAACTAAAAACCATGGGAAGACAGTTTACGTACTGAAGGCAATTCTCTTTCCTAAGTAGGTTTCTAAAAATGCAATTATAAGTAGGATCAAAAGCAAATTCTGATTATGAAATGCAGACTGACTTCTGGCAGTACTCAGTGCTAACAGAGAGGGATCCCTCTGACCCCCTTGTGGCCATCAGCAATTTTCCTCTAATTTTCCTCAGTTTGGCTGTGCCCTCCACGTGACCGTGCAGACAGCAGAGTCCCCATACCAACTGCAGAGGATTCCTTCACTGAAACTTATTCACCAAAACTGGACAATAATTTATTTTCTGGAAAAAAAGGAATTAAAGGCCCAACAGAAATATGATACCATTCATTTTGTGATTGTGTGGAATTATAACACTTACATGAACCTGCAAAAACAGACGGATAAGTGAATAAAATTACTGTTTAGATTACTGTGATACTTGAATATCCTGTGAACTGGATAAAATTAAATCATAAAGAGGCTCTATTACTGTCTGCAATAGCCCAAGCTAGAACTTGTGAATAAAAACTGTAAGAAGTGACAAAGATAAAACAATAAACAAACCCACAAACTTCAAATTTTAAAAAGGAACACTCTGTAGAAGACTACAGACTGCTCTGGCAAGAACACCAGACATGAATGACATTCACACGAAGATGGTGCTCCAAACTGACCAGGAAAAACACTAAGAGGAATTAGGGTGCTCGCTTCCCAACAGAACACTTACTGCTGGGGGTAGATAGGGAATGGTCAGTGCACCCTGAAACACCATGAAGACTTGCATGTTTTCTTGCCCCTGACTACTAGATTCTAAAATTTCCCAAATGTAGCACTTAAGGGCATTCCAGTTTTTAAATTTGCATTGGGCTGACAAGGGAAAAAGTAATGGAAAATGCCAATGACTAAGTCCAGAAGGATTCAGATAGCTACCACAGGGAACTGCAGGCATTAATTCAGGATACAGAAAACAACTTAAAAAAAAAAAAAGAAAAAAAAAAGAGAAAGACTCAAAAATCAGAGCAGCCACTATTGGATTAGATAGTGGATTGAGAGGGCCAGTAAGCAAAGAGCAGAAAAATGGAGAATGGAAAGCTTCCACTTAAAAACCGTGATGACAAAAGGAACCGAAACCTGGAGACAACTGAAATAACCAGGGACAGAAGTTGCCGAACACACATTAGTGAGAAGTCAGTATCTGACACGCACAGCTTCGCCTAACAGTTCCAGAGGGAAACGCAGAGATCAGAGGGAAACCAGAAGCAGTGATGGAAGAGAGAAGCTGCAGAGGAATTCAAGCTCTGTAGACATCTGCAAGACAACAGGATCTCAAGAACTGACCCTTAACCAGAAGGGAATTTATGAGATTTGCTTTGCATAAACAAGACCCATCTAACTCACGGAGGAGAAGCATTTGTTTTTCTGTTCTGCATTTGAACTAAGAGGTGAAATGGGCAGAAACAAAATAGCATAAAAGGGAAGAAAACCAGGTAGTACCACAAGAAGAAAAGAAATAAATGTAGATAATGAGATACTAAGGCTCAAGTTAAATGAACAAAACATACAAAGGACTGAAAAAATGATCTACAGATAAAAGTGAGAACATAAGGTCTTACAGACTCCAAGATGTTCTCCCCATTGACAGTTTTAAGCAACTAAGGATTTTTTCTTTTTAACAGGATGAACTGTACTTACACCACTCCTGCGAGCAAAGATCGAACTTTTAAAAACTTCCACTGATGGAATTCCACAATCCTCAAAGGCAAGGGATGTGTTTAGTGCTTCACTCACTGCTGTTGACAAGTTTTCCAT